CTTGCCAATCTTCTTCAATAGGATGGCAGATCCACAGAACTATCACGTTAACAGCTACCTCTGATAGCCAAACTCATCAGATAATGGCCTACCAGATGATAGGTCTCTATTCTGACTTTATGGATAGTGCCCCACTAGGCGATGTGTCTTGTCTACCTTTTTTTATTCCCTTGCTAAGTCTTAATTAAGACTGGGGGTTGGTTACTTGGAATCCACTGGATTAACAGTAATGAATCTTTCACATCATCAAGTTAACATTACACTTCTGACGATCATCACCCCTACAAAGTAAGAATGCAACTTGTATCACACATAATTTGTCACGTTAATAATATACCTCTGGCAATCAACTTATCAATCCTTGTTAATAGGATGATAGGTCCTAAAAATTGCTCAAATCGTAATCTTCTCCAACAAGACACTAAGTATTCAAAGTCTTGTTCAAATCACAAGTATCAAAATTCATCGCTTCTGATGATAAACTCACCTAGCAAGTTTCCCTAGCGAGACTCTAATTCCTAAAATCTTGTGCAAGTCACAAGTACAAATTCCTGTCACGTTAATATCACACCTCTAACAACCAATCAACTTATCAATCCTCTTTAATAGGATGATAAGTCCACAAAGTTGCTCCAATCGCAACACAAATCACTTATCAATCCTCTTTAATAGGATGATAAGTCCACAAAGTTGCTCCAATCGCAACACAAATCCTGTCACATTAACACTAAACCTCTCTCCAATCGCAACACAAATCCTGTCACATTAACACTAAACCTCTGACAAATTCACTTATCAATCCTCTTTAATATGATGATAAGTCTACAAAGTCTACAAATCCTGTCACGTTAACACTAAACCTCTGACAAAACCAACTTATCAATCCTCTCTAATAGGATAATAAGTCTACAAAGTTGCTCCAATCGCAACATAAATTCCTGTCATGTTAATATCACACCTCTGACAACTAATCAACTTATCAATCCTCTTCAATAGGATGATAAGTCCACAAAGTTGCTCCAATCGCAACACAAATCCTGTCACGTTAACACTAAACCTCTGATAAATTCACTTATCAATCCTCATTAATAGGATGATAAATCCACAAAGTTGCTCCAATCGCAACACAAATCCTATCACGTTAACACTAAACCTCTGATAAATTCACTTATCAATCCTCTTTAATAGAATGATAAGTCTACAAAGTTTCTCCAATCTAACATAAATTCCCGTCATGTTAACACTAAACCTTTGACAAAATTCACTTATCGACTCTCTCCAATAGAGCGATAGGTACTCAAAATTGCCCCGATCGTAATATTCTTCTTGTCACGTTAATATCACACCTCTGACAAAATCAACTTATCGACTCTCCTAAATAGAGCGATAGGTCCACATACTCGTCAAGTTAATATCACACCTCTGACGACCAAATCAACTTATCAACTTTTTTCAAAAGAGCGATAGGTTCATAAAATACTATTAGGTTAACATCACACCTCTAACAGTCAAACCCCCCAATGAACTTGTTACTCATTTTTCAACAAGAATAGTAAGTTTTCATTATAAAATTCCCAGTGGATTAAAAATTTTCTGGAATTATCCTAGTGATAATAAAGAAAAAATTCTGAATTTCACTTAAGTGAAAATTCATGCCAAGTTAATACTACACCTCTGGCTCTTCCAACTTTCTTTCATTGTTTCAAGTAACACAGGAAGAAACAACGGCAAAGTCTACGTATTCAACATCGTAGCACCAAAAATCTATGTCTTTCATGCATGGAGAACTTTATCCTAAATCCTAAGTTGGGATAAGTCTACACCTAACACGCGTTGCCGGTTAGTCTTTTTCTGTAAAAAAATGACAACGTCTATGTGTTCAAAATCATAGCATCAAGTCTAAGAGAGCTTATTCTCTTAGCACAACGTTATATGTGAAACAGATTCAAATAATTCACATGCTAGCCCGACTCAAACGATAGTCGGTAAAGGCTTATCAAATCCGTTGATGGCTGAGGGTTTGCCAAAAAGCCTACTAATATTTGCAGGCCCATCAACTAAATGGAGGTGAGCTATGATGTGACGTTTGATAGCTTCTGCTCATAAGTAGCTTGTACCATCACTACAGTTTCTATTTGAAGCTCATCATCACACATGTCTCGCTTGGAAAATCCCTTCAGCCAAGACTCCTTCGAAGCGGGTGCAGAGAACAACTCCTTTACGACAAAGAGTCAACAGCTCCAAGATCATAGTTGAGATCCAAAGTATTCCAAAAATTCGTCCTAGTCAATCGCGAACTTTCAAAAACTTTGGAGGGGGTTCTGTAGGCTGACTAAAAATCACTACAGATAGTTGATTCCCATCAAACACCAATGATGGAAGTTACAATTTGACGGCTTCCAAAAGACTATAATTTGAATACTTTCACGTGGATCGATGAAGGTTACAATCTGACGATCTTCGCAACAACTGATGAAAGTTCTAATCAACAGCCTTCACAATCAACATCAGAAGTTACAATCTGACGACTCTCACATTTTTAAGGATCCAAGATAAAGATTACAAGATGACGATCTTTACAACGCTCTAGCAAAAGAGACTACAAATCGACGGTCTCTTCAAACCAAAACACGGATATCACTCAAACCGTAAGGAATTTGGCAAAACTGACGGAGAAAACCAACCCCATGGGGTTGGTTTGGTCAGCTCCGTCTCGTCGAGATAGCCGATTTTCATATATAATTCATCCAATTCCGACTTATGGTTTGAAAGTTATGACCTGTTTTTCGCAGGAAGTTATGTTCTGAAGTCCATCTGCAAGACTAGACTTCGTCTGAACATTGGACTTAGCCTGAAGTTCGCCAAGCCCGCCTAAGGCTCGTCTCTACATTACAGAATCAAAACGCAGAGTTCGTGGACTTAAAACGCAGAGTTCAACTCTGCATCCAAGGACAAAAATACAGAGTTCATGCAGAGCCCAACTCTGCGTCCAACGACAAAAACGCAGAGTTCGTGGACTTAAAACACAGATTTCAACTCTGCGTCCAACGACAAAAAAGCACAGTTCATGCGGAGCCCAACTCTGCGTCCAAGGTCTAAAAACGCACAGTTCATGCGGAGGCCAACTCTACGTCCCAGGTCCAAAAACACACAGTTTATGCGGAGCCCAACTCTACGTCCCAGGTCCAAAAACACACAGTTCATGCAGAGCCCAACTCTGCGTCCCAGGTCTAAAAACGTACAGTTCATGCGGAGCCCAACTCTGCGTCACAGGTCCAAAAACACACAGTTCATGCAGAACCCAACTCTGCGTCCTAGGTCCAAAACGCAGAGTTCATCTCTACGCAGCGCGACCTATGCGTTTTCAGCCTAAAACAGGCCCAACTCTGCGCTTCAGGTCTAAAACACAGAGTTTGAGCCCAGAATGCTGTTTTCAGCATTTGACTCGTTCAAGCACGATTTGAACGGTTCCAGAACAATTTTCTCCCCACAATTTGAGGGGATTGCTACCCTATCATGGAGAGATTTATGGGAGACAGTTACACCCTATTAAACCCTCATTAAGGAGAGATTTAAAGGGGTGGTTACACCCTTAAATCCCCTATAAATAGTGGGAAACTCAATTGAGTTGGGGCTGGCTTTTTGGACACCCTTAAATCCCCTATAAATAGTGGGAAACTCAATTGAGTTGGGGCTGGCTTTTTGGATCTTAGACTTGGCAGCGAAGAGGAGATCTTCGGCTTGGTAACTCAATTGAGTTGGGGCTGGCTTTTTGGATCTTAGACTTGGCAGCGAAGAGGAGATCTTCGGCTTGGTAGCGAGGGGAAGATCAACGTTCATCCTTCAGCAACGTTTAACAACAGAGAGCTTTCATTCTTGGCTTATAAACCGATTTCGGTTAAATCAACTCTTTCATAGAGTTTCAAACTCGTTCAGAGTTATCAACTCGATCAGAGTTCAAAACTTGCTCTGCAAGTTCTTCTAAAACTCGCTCTGAGTTATTAACTCGTTAAGAGTTATTTTCAAACTTGTCACGTAAGTTCTCCACAATGTCAAATCGTGAGGAGAAGACCACGTTCCAGTAAAACAAGACGTTTGGATCGTCAACGGAGAGCAAATTCGACGCGAGCATTCGAAGGAGGCATTCCATCGCTACCGAGAAGAACCTAGAATTAAACAAAGGAGAGAATCCAGATAATTCTTTTCTCTTTTGTAATCAGGAATTCGATTGTAATTGAGAGTTAAGGGAATTGTAAACATTCTTTTTCTAAGCAGTTAGAGAGAATAAAATCAAACACAATTTTTTCATCATTTTCATTTCACAAATTTTCCAACAAACAGTGGCCAATATGGTAATTTCCATTATTCAATAAGTTTTATTGGCATTCTTTATTGAATAGATTCTGTCATAAATTACCATACCTCTAATGCTCTTGTATGATAGTGGTAAAGAGGAATAAAAATTTGATCTTCATCATTAAGTTACACAAATCTTTAACTATGCAGTTGATTCATCAAAGAGTCTTGTGTTAGGGTTGAGTATGAAAGATGTCTCCTTCCAATGCGAGAAACTGTCAGTATACACATATAAAAAATCTCTCTCATAGAAGACTGTAAATTTCTCTATTAAACAAAATAGAGTACAATCTGATAATAAGAATTGACTCCTTACCTCTAGATATAACCTGTAATCATGAAAGGTTTAGGATTCATAATCTTTTCTTTTCTAGTTAGTTTCTTAATCTCTGAATAAGAACCCAACTCCATGAAGGAAACCAACGCACATCAATTTTCTAATCTCAATGGTTTGTAATCTAATTAAATAAGCTAAGTTTTGGTATTCAGTCTGCGCATTTTTGCACTATATGCATGACCTGATGATAACATGGATTTATGATGACTATGAGACAAGCTCAACTTACTTGTAGCAAAATCGAATAGAAATTTCCAAAACACAAACGAATAACCTTATTTTTATAAGCTGGTATTGAATTATACAGGTAATGAATTTGATTGGCGATGTTAAGGGCCTGTTTGGTTATTTCCCAAAAAACCGAAAAATGGAAATGAAAAGCAAGAAATCTCAAAAAGTACAATTTCACACATTTCCATCCCTAAAACTCACCCACAACATCTAATAAAATATTATTTTTATCCAACAACTCATCCACCACATCTAATAAAATATTATTTTCATCCAACAACTCATCCATCACATCCACCACATCTAATAAAATATTATTTTCATCAACAACATCACTCAACTCATCTCATCTCATATTTAAAAATCACCCACATCATCCAATAAGATTGTGACAACTCATCTCATCTTATTAACATTTCATTTCTTTGTTTTCATCCCAAAAAGTTGTGAAAACGCTTTTCTTAATCTTGGATCACATCACCCAATAATACAATGACAGCTCATCTCATCTCATCTATTTTCTTATTTTTAAGAAAGAACCAAACAAACTTTTTTGAGAAATTGGTTTCTTATAATTTATTTCCTTATTTTTTTTCGCCAACCAAACAACATCAAAACAAGTTTTCTTAAAAAATCACTCACATCATCCTATAATAAGGTGACAACTCATCTCCATTTCTTTGATTTCTTCTTTTTTTTAGCAAACCAAACACTCCCAAAACAATTCTTTGATTTAATAGTTTTCCATTTCTTTGATTTCCCCTTTTTTGGGACAAACAAACAGGCCCTAAAGGGGAAAGTTGCTGTTTTGGTGGATGACATGATTGACGCAGCTGGTAAGCTCTGTCAGCGACACAGTTATTCATGTTATTTATCATTATGTTTTACCAAGTATCTCACATTTACTAAAATATTCATTTATTTAATTCAGGTACTATCACTAATGCTGCAGCTGTACTACAGAAGGGAGGAGCTAATGCAGTTTTTGCATGTTGTACTACTACTGCTGTTTTTAGGTAATCAGTGAAGCTCAGCCTATAATTCTTCCATATGTAACATAAATTGATTGACATAGATCTTGTTGAGTTAATAAACCCTCAGCGGTCTCCGATCAAATGTACCAAAATAATATACTATACATAAAACCAGAAAATAGAGAGACAATCACAAACACACAATATACGTGGTTCGATCAAATTGATCTACGTCCACGACAAGAAGGGGCTTCACTTTATTTCTCTCTTAGTTTCATCTCCTTTAAAAAATTTTGAGAGCTCTTATATTTTAGCTCTCTGTCTCAGGTATTGTAAAACTCTCACCGAGAAGACAAGAGAGGGTGATTAATTAGGAGGACCCACAAGTAAGAGTGACCCCAATCTAATCATATCCTTCTTTGATTCTTTGCTCAAAAATAAGGGTCTGCTGTCATTCTACAATCAAGATATCAAAGAGATTTGAAATGGGTCCAACCCATTTTGGATTCAAGCCAAAAAGTCAACAATCTCCATCTTGGATTGAATTCTCAAACATCAATAACTAGTGAATTTCACCCGTCTTGCAAACAATGCTCTAGACGGGGCCACCTAACAAGTACAAACGCCTCCCAAATTCAAGCAGTGCTTGAACTTGAAGTCCCGGATCGGTTTGGTCAGCATACCAGCTGGGTTGTCTGCAGTACCAATCTTCTTCATCATGATGTTTCTTTCAGCAGTTGCCTCATGAATGAAATGATATCTGACATCAATATGCTTTGTCCTCTCATGATGTGCTGAGTTGTTGCTTAGATGTATTGCGCTCTGATTGTCACAAAATACAACTGAACTAGCCTCCTGCTAAGATTTCTCAACCAAATGGCCTCTTTTACCGCTGCTGCTGCTGCCATGTATTCTGTCTCTGTAGTAGACAAAGCAACTGTCGACTGTAGAGTCGATCTCCAACTAATAGCTGAGCCAGAAAGAGTAAGATAACCAGTCAAAGATCTCCTTTTATCGAGATCACCTACATAGTCAGAATCCACAAAACCTACAACTGAGGTTCCCAAAGTACTGCTATCAAAAACTAAACTCAAATATGAGGTACCTCTGTAATACCGAAGGATCCACTTCATTGCTTCCCAGTGTGCCTTCCCTAGTTGAGTCATGTATCTGCTCACTACACTGACTACCTGGGTAATGCCTAGACGAGTGCAAATCATAGCATACATAATACTACCCACTACATTAGAGTATGGAACTCGGGGCATCTCCTTCTTCTTGTTCTCACTTGTAGGTGAATCTGAAGCCGAGAGCCTAAAGTGAGGAGCCAAAGGAGTCGTAACGGGCTTGGCCCTCTTCATCCCAAAGCGTTCAAACACTTTTTCAATATAACTCTTCTGTGAGAGATATAATATTTCAGCTTTCCTGTCCCTCTTGATCTCCATACCTAAGATCTTCTTTGATGCACCAAGATCTTTCATCTCAAACTCATCACTGAGTTGTTTCTTCAAAATAAAAATATGCAACATGTTCTTAGCAGCAATAAGCATGTCATCGACATATAATAGAAGATAAATAAAAGTATCATCTCCTAGATGCATGTAGTACACACAATTATCATAAGTACTTCTTGAGTACCCATGACTAAGCATAAAATTATCAAACCTCTTGTACCACTGTTTGGGAGATTACTTCAGGCCATACAAAGATTTTTTTCAATCTGCAAACTTGATCTTCTTTGCCTTCTACAAAGTATCCCTCTGGCTGAGACATGTAGATAGTCTCCTCAAGTTTGCTATGCAAAAATGCAGTCTTCACATCAAGCTGCTCAAGCTCCAAATCAAATAGAGCAACCATGGAAAGCAATACACTGATAGAGGTATGCTTCACAACCAGAGAAAACACTTCATCATAGTCAATTCCCTCCTTTTGTCTATAACCCTTAGCCACCAATCGTACTTTGAATCTAGCATCTTCAACCCCTGGGATCCCTTCTTTCTTCTTGAAAATCCACTTGCATCCAATTGCCCTTTTACCCTTAGGTAATTGCACCAAATCCCAAGTCGGATTCTTGTAAAGTGACTCGACTTCTTCTGTCATAGCCGTGGCCCAACGTCCAGATTCTCCGCATGAGATAGCTTCAGTAAAGTTTAATGGCTCTTGAATACACATCTCTTCAGCTGTCGTGAGAGTATACGCCACTAATTTAGCATGTGCATATCTTTGAGGAGATCTGATTTGTCTCCTCTCTCTGCCAATGGCTATGGAATAAAGTTCTTCAGTCTCAGCATCATCATCATCTGAGCCTGAATCATGTTGCTCTTCTACAACTGTAGGAGTAATTTTTATACACGAGTTTTCAGAAGTCTCTCCCTCGAGCTCCACCTGAAGCTCCACCTTATCCATGGTCTTCTCTATATTTCCTGTAGACTCAACAGAAACCTTCCCATGATCAAGCATATATCTTTCATTAAAAGTAACATCTCTACTAATAATGAATTTAGGAGAAGCAGATTCAAGACTCCACAAACGATAGCCTTTAACGCCATCAGCATAACCAATAAATATGCATTTCTTAGCTCTAGGCTCAAGCTTACCCTCTCTAACATGATAGTAAGTGGGACATCCAAATACCTTTAAATTTAAATAGTTATTTGGTTTACCTGACCATACCTTATTGGATTCTTGTGTTCAATGGCGGTAGAAGGAGACCGGTTCACCAAGTAACAAGTTGTGTTAACAGCTTTAGCCCAAAAGTCTTTATCTAACCCAGAGTTTTAGAGCATACACCTAGATCTCTCCGTCAACATTCTATTCATGCATTCTGCCACTCTGTTTTGCTGAGGAGTGTGCATGACCGTGCGATGACGTACGATCCCAAAATTTGAGCAGAACCGATTGAACTCTCCACTGCAGAACTCTAAGTCATTATCTGTTCGGAGACGTTTAATCTTCTTTTTAGTTTGATTTTCAAAAAGTACTTTTCACTTCTTGAAAGTTTCGAACACCTCGCTTTTGCTGCTGAGAAAGTAAACTCAAACTTTCCTAGAAAAATCATCAATAAATGTCAAAAAATAAAGAGCACCACCTTTGGATGGAACCTGAGCAGGTCCCCACAAATCTGAATGGATGTAGTCGAGAGTACCCTTCGTCGTATGTGAGCTAGTTAAGAAGTTGACCCGAGTTTGCTTCCCAAACACACAATGCTCACAAAAATCAGGTGATGATGTATGGTCACCATAGAGTAAGCCACGTTTACTCAAGATAGACATCCCATTCTCACTCATGTGGCCTAAGCACATGTGCCACAACTGAGTAGTGTCCCTATCAGCATCAGAGGACACACCTGCAGAGCCTGTCACTGTACCGCCTTGAAGAACATAAAGATTGTTTACCTTACTACCTTTCATCACAACCAATGAACTCTTAGTAACTCTAAGAGCTCCACCTCCACTAGTGTAAGAACAACCAATAGAATCCAAAGAAGTCAAAGAAATCAGACTTTTTTTAAGTCCGAGATGTGTCTCACATCTGATAAAGTTCTCACTATCCTATCATGACACCGGATGCGAACTGTACCAATGCCAACTATTTTGCAAACTGTATTGTTGCCCATCAAAATTGATCCACCACTTAAAGATCTGTAAGTAGTGAACCAATCTTTATTTGGACACATATGATAAGACGCACCCGTATCAAAAATCCGTTCTCTATCGGAACGGCCATCCAAGGGACAAACTGCAAGAACAATCTCAGCAACAACAGCAGTATCAGTTTTTGCCGTATTGGCTGAATCTGAGGTTTCACCACACTGGTTCTCTTTCTTCTTTAGAGCATAGCATTCTGACTTGTAATGTTCTTTCTTGTGACAGTAGAAACACTCCACATATTTCTTGTTTTTGGTTGACCTAGACTTTGAACGATTTCTGGATTGTCCTTTATCACCCTCTCTGGTCTTCGTTCTACCTCTGGCTAGCAGACCATCAGTCTGCCTATCGGTACCTCTCCCATTCAACTTTGTTCTTAACTCAGCAGAATTCAAAGATGCCTTCACATCCTCAAGACTTATGGATTCTCTTCCATACAACATAGAGTTAACAAAGTTTTTATAAGAATCAGGCAAGGAACACAAAACAATGAGAGCCTGGTCTTCATCATCAAGCTTAAGATCTAGGTTTTTCATACCCATGACAATTTTATTAAATTCATCAAATTGTTCATGAATGGGTGTATCTTCCTTCATCTTCAATGTGTATAGCCGTTGCTTCAGGTATAATCTCGTAGTAAGAGATTTCTTCAAGTATCTTCAATGTGTATAGCCGTTGCTTCAGGTATAATCTCGTAGTAAGAGATTTCTTCAAGTAGAGACTTTTGAGCTTTGACCACAACCGGTTGCTTCAGGTATAATCTCGTAGTAAGAGATTTCTTCAAGTAGAGACTTTTGAGCTTTGACCACAACCGCGCTGTCGTTTCCTCATCGGCAACTTCACGAAGCATATTATCGGATAGTGACAATTGCAAGACGTTGTGATCCTTTTCGTCCATCTCTTCGATCTCGGCACTAGCCATATCTTATGGGTATTTCCCATCGATAGCTTTAACCGTGCCTTCAAGTCGCAACAAAGCCTTCATCTTTATCCTCCATAGGCCGAAATTGTTCTGGCCATTGAAGATCGACACCGAGAACTTTACAGAAGCCATTGTGGAGGATTGAAAGCTGTCCTACAACCGAGAAGCTCTGATACCAATTTGTTAAGTTAATAAACCCTCAGCGTTCCGCAACGGTCTGATCAAATATACCAAAATAACACACTAAACACAAAACCAAAAAATAGCGAGACAATCAAAAACACACAATATTTACGTGGTTCGATCAAATTGATCTACGTCCACGACAAGAGGGGGGCTTCACTTTATTTCTCTCTTATTTTCATCTCCTTTACAAAATTTTGATAGCTCTTATATTTTAGCTCTCTGTCTCAGATATTGTAAAACTCTCACCGAGAAGACAAGAGAGTGTGATTAATTAGGAGGACCCACAAGTGA